GGTCCCTTCCAACCCTAGAAACTATGAAACTATGAAAATGTGCAATTATGGAGGTTTGATTTTTAGTACATAATTTTTTTTCCAGTTCCAGGATGGCAAACCCACTTCCCAAAAGGAGTGCTTCCAGGGGCAGCAGGAAGGACTTCTGTCAACAGACGGGGCCCACCCTTGCAGCCCAGACTCGCACACCCAGCTCACCAACACTCAGTAAGTGGTCCTCCAGCCAAAATGACTGCACACCCCGGTTTAGATTAAGGCAAACAGGTCTCCTATTAATTAGGAAATAATATCCAATAATCTCTCTTTTCTCCTTTACTGGTAACTAGAGGTAAGTACCTGCTACCAAGAATCCCTTACCCAAGTAGCTCAAATGATATATTTGCAGTACTAGGTTAAATTCTCCAATTAAATACAAGTTATCTAAAACCACATCCTCAACTCTTTCAGAAACAAGTAATAATTATATTCTGTTTTTGGGCACCAGTTTGGTATTGTAGCTGCAGTAGTTGGTAACATTATTTTGTTCCAAGTCTGTCACTTGAACAGGGACCGGGATACCCCACCTACCAGAGGTAGGAACAATCTTGGGGATAGCTGTCAGGCCTTCAGTCAGTGCAGATGTAGTTAGGGATCTTCGGGAAGGGTCAGACATTTTTATATCTGCAGGTCTAGATGCCCTACACCCAAGGGTGTTGAGGGAGTTGGCAGGGGTCATTGTGGAGCCATTGGCCCAACTATATGAGCATTCGTGGTCATCTGGCCAGGTGCCGAGGAATTGGAAACCGGCTAATGTGGTCCCGATTTTCAAGAAAGGGATAAAGGAAGACCCAAGTAACTATAGGCCTGCAAGCCTCACCTCGGTGCTCGGGAAGATCTTGGACAAAATCATCAAGGAGCACATCTGTGGGGGGCCTGCAGGGGAGATCATGCTCAGGGGCAATCGGCATGGGTTCATCAAAGGCAGGTCCTGCCTGACCAACCTCATTACCTTTTATGACCAAGTAACTAAATCCTTGGATGATGGTGTTGCTGTGGACGTAGTCTTTCTGGACTTTAAGAAGGCCTTTGACACTGTCTCTTACCACACCCTCATCAATAAATTAAGCGACTGTGGCATTGATGCCTGCACAGTTGGATGGTAAAAAGTTGGCTGATGGGGGG